GAAGTATGGCGTAATTTTCAAAGTGTAATTTACTACTTTTTAACTGTTATTTTTTGCTTTTGTCTTTTTCATTATAACTCTTCCAGTCATCATCGTTTTGTTTATTTGTGTTTTTTTAATTATTTGGTATTGTCCTTTTTTTTTACTCTTTCCGATTGCTACTATAAATGTTTGGCAGCAGTTATGGAAAATGAATAGCATTGTTGTTTGCAAAAAAAAGCAAGTTATATTCACTGGAATTTTTGCAACTGTTTTCAGAGAGAACAACAGGAGTAGTCTCTGTCGTTGTGAGTGTTGTTGTTGTTGTTGTTGTTGTTGTTGCTTTGGTTTTCTGTCGCTGTTGTTAGCGCTTTGGCAATAGTGCAAGTTTGGGGTCATTGGTATTTCTGTAAAGTAAGTTATTCATTAGGTTTGATGGATTTTTTTACAGGTTTAATACTTAATTGCTGTTATAACAACCTGTTATGGGATCTCAAACTTCATGTACATTTTAAACTTTTTTTTTCTGTGTATTTATTTGTTAATGAAATGTTATCTGTCCAACTGTATTTTAGGGCGACAGAGAGTCAGTTTTGGTGTTATTATTTTTCTTTTTCTCAGTCTTATCGGTTGAGAATCAGATTTGAAATATGACTTTTTTTGTAGTTCCTTCTCGTTGTCTTTTTTTTTTTTTTTTGGCAGATGAGCTTTCTGAATATAATTAGTTAAATTTTTTCTTAATTTTTTACTCATTACTTTTCCTCTTCATTGTTCTTTTTTATAGGTTTAATGTCAGAAAAAAGACTTCTTTTTTGTTTTATAAACCGTTTCACTACACCGTCGTCGCACATTTTTGTTTTGGCACAGTTGATTTTTTTTTCTTGCTTTTTTGCTCTCATAATATTGTACATTTCTCTTAAGTTCATTGTCTTTTCACAAAAATCCTAGTTCTGAAGAAGTGTTTTGCTTTCTGTTGTTAGAAGATCCCTTTTTTTTTTTTTCATATCAATTAAACAGTACTTGTTTTGTTTGATTATCCAACTAGTCGGTTGCTGCAAATATGAATTCTGGAAATCTATTTGTGTTTATTTGTGTATTTATGCATGGGTGTGTGTCTATTAAACAAAACCCATGTCATTTGGGTGCTGAGTTTCTCCTTTTTCATTCCATCTTTGCTAAATTTCAATATTACTTCATTGATCTTTTTCTTCAGTAGGATTCCACTGGTCCTCTTCGGGTTTAGAGGGCTGTGTTACGTTGATGGCAGCAAATTTATTAACGGAATTTCAGACATTTGTCGTATAGGTTGAGGAGCGTTAGAGTGGTGTGGACTGGGGAGGGAAGATGATTAATAGAGGATGGAAAATTAATGGCGAGTAGTGGTAGAAGGAACTTTTTTCAGAACACAGAAACAACAGTGAGAAGAACAGAGACGTCGAAGGGTCGAAAAGAATTAAAAAAGAAAAATTGGGAAGAAAATTTGCGTTCTTTAAATTTGTGCATCTCGGAAAGTAATCGACCAAAACTGGCGTTCAGTTTTAAAGTGTAACTAATTGTTTGGCAAAGATTTGTCGCTTCTGAAATTATGGTAAAATTTTTTTTTATTGTTCGTTGAAACTTGGAGTTTATTGTCATTTACATGTATATTTGTTAGCAGATTTGTTCCTATTCAGTAGATTTTTTTTAGATGGAATGTTTTGTTTTTTTTTTTTTTTTTTTTTTTTTTTTTTT